TTATAAAATAAGATTATAATAAAACAAAACAGCAAAAACTTAGTGGCTTAATAAAACTTAAAAACTAAGAACAATATAGTAGAAAGTAAAATGATAAACATTATATCATCCAAATGTTAACTGCAAAAAAAAAAAGAGAAAAAAGAAAACTCTGGTATAACTATATTAATATCAGACAAAGTTGACTTGAAAGTATGAACTATTAGTAAAGGTAAAGAGATATTTCACAATGAAACATTTTCAATCCATGAAAGATATGCTTTAAATCAATGTGTATCCAGTAATATGATTTGGAACTAACTAAAAAACAAAAATAAAAATAAAAACAAAAACCAACTAATAAAAAATAAGAGGGCAGATAAAATATCTACTAGCATAGTGCGAGACATTAACATCTATATCTCTCAAGAGCTGGCAAACAAAAATTCTGCATGGATATAGACAATTAGAATGACACAACTATTTTACAAATGTAAATAACCACGCAGCTGCAGAATTTACCTTCTTGTAAAGTACACAGGGACACTTATCTAAATAAAGTGCATGATGATATTTAAGGAAACCCTCCCAAGTTTCAAAATATATGTCTGTAAGCATACTGAAATGAACTCGATGTCATTTTTATAAGTACACTACAGAAACTCTAATTTGCTGGCAATTAAAGCATATACTTCATATTTTGATGGAGCAAAGAAGCTATTTTTTGTTTGTTTCTTTTAATTCCTCTTTCAAATAAAACATCAATGCTCAATGTATTATACACATTCATATTTGTTTTCATGAAAATGTGAATAATAAATTAAAAACTATGGTTCTTCATCTAAAATATTTTGCTATCGACAACAAAAAAAATCAAGTGTATCTTCATCAATGATACTTTCTTTTTCATTAAACATTAAAACTTATCCAAATCAGTTAAACACCTGTACTTTTTAGTATTATGGGAACTACTGCCATCTATTGAACTTTTAGGGCTTGCTCCTCCCAATATTACAATGCACTATATCATCATTACAGTCATAAGTGGGCTAAAGTTGTTGGATGACTTACAATTTTGCAATCATTTCAACTTCATGGGGAAATTTTGTTTGACAATCAAGTTTCTATTATTTCATTGTGATTATTTCACATGTATTCTTTCTTCAACTTGTTTATTTACTCTTCAAGGGCAATTCTCAAAATCCACCTCCTTCCATGTAGGGTACAGAAAGTTTGTTTTATAAACTTTCATGTAACCTATTGAATTTTACATGCATATTCTTTAAACAAATTAATAGATGTCAGTGATTTTTCCTACGGAAGAATTAAAATTCAGCAATAACTTTAGTATAACTATAACATAGTTAAAACCAGAGAAGGAGACAGCAAGAATCTTAAGAAGTAGAATAAATTACTTTCGATATAAGAACCAATTCTGAGGAATTTTACACCTAAATTTTACACTTTTTTTCTGAAGGAGAACAGGGTATCTCTTTGTTCTTTGTGTAAGAATTCAAGCCTTAGGCTGATTTCTTCTTTTTCACTGTGAGTCTTACAAGTAGCTCCCTTTTTCAACTCTCCTGACCTCACGTAGTCATAACCAGGAACTGCATAGTGGTTGTCCTCTAATTTGGACATTCATTGTACAGTCTCTATTCTCCCCTATAGCCTCTGGACACTGACAGGCAGCTTGCTTCAGTCAGGAGCTTTATTTGCCTTGTGTCCTAGGCCACTGAGTTTGCAACTCCCTAGAGAAGGGACTTTGTAAACTATTAGTCTACTTAATTCTAACTCTCAAACTCTTACTCAAAGTCTATCTACTTTAAATTAAAATACAGTGATAGCTTTGAATAAAAATACAAGATATGTGAAGATGACTCACTTTCTCAGGCCATGTAGATTAGCAGAAAAAAAAAAACACACAGGTAATAATATTTGCAAAGTTTGTATGCTGGATGTTTACACTAGAATTAATCATAGCAATGGTGTAAGAAAGATGGCTCCATCAGCCAGGTAAAGAGAGAAAGAAGTCAGGTGAAACATCACATCTTAAGAGATACAGTTAGACTACTAGATCTATTTGATGAAGGGATATGATCTTTATATAATTAGAATTACTTGGATTTCTGCCTTTTATGGTGCTTCCTGAAAACCAGACCTCATACTATATCATTTTTTTTAAGCAGTTTACAAAGTTTCATTATATAAGCAGCCAAGTGATGAGTTATAATCCATATGGATAAATGAAAAAAATACTTTACTCCAAGTTACTCTTGTCGTGGTGACACTAAATTATTCTGAAAACAGCAGTATGTTAGTGCAATATGAGTGCAAAATAAAATACCTTTTAAATAAGTCAGAATGTGTATGGTCTCTGTTTCATAACTAAATGCATCTTGCAGTGTAGCAGAAAAGTTATCTGTCAGTCATTCCACATAGACTGCTACTGACTAAAGAAAGGTAAATCCCATCACTTATAATGAGTTCACTCAGAGAGTATACATTTATTTTGTATCCTTGTCAGGTAAAATGATTGTTTTCACCATGAACTGATGCTTCGACAATAACACTGTCACTAATCAATAATAAAATTAGAAATCAATATTTCTATTTTCATCACTATTACATTTTTCTGTTGAATTCTAAAATCAATTTTAATGGATTTGGAACTTTAAAAAATAGTTTATGGAGAGGACAGAGGGAGAGTGGGAGATGTTATTTATATCCTGGCCAAGTATTTATTGAGCCTGTATTGTATATAACTGGCTTTTTCACTTAATAACTAAGATATTATACATCTTAAAAATAGTGATGGTAGAATCTATTTAAAAATAAAACACAAGTTGCTATAATAAATTATAATAAATTTTGTATTCGATTTAGTTTAGCATTATCACTCATTATTTTTTTAAAAATCTTTGAACTTCATTTTTCTCATTCTATGAAATAATAACACTTGTCTAAAAATAATAGATGTGTGGACTAAAGGATAAACTAAATACAAAAGTACAGTGCACTTTGTTAAATGTTTTAAAATTTAATTATAGGTTATGGATTAATGTAATATGAACCTGTGATTTCTAATTCTCTCTCAAATATACTTTGTTTATAGAGCAAAGGCCAGTGAACCACTTAACATAAACTTATCTCTAGAATCAATATTTTAAAGTGGTTTTACCCAACAGTGAACTTGACTTGCATGTCTTTTAACAATGGTATTTAGACTCATTCATTCACTCATTATAAATCATTCATTCAATCATTTTCCAAGGGATATAGGCTGAATATCTGAATATCTAAGTTTACAAAGACAATTCAAGTATCATTCTTCTTAGAGGGATTCATAGTAGTAAAGAAGATAGGCATCTATAGAAATAAATATAATACAAAGTGCATGGAAACATGCTATGTAACAGGAAATAGGGATTGACTATTTCTGCTAATTCTGCAATAGAGTTCAAAGAAAACTTATAACAGGGATTTTAAACAAAGAAATGTGAGTATGAAGAATCTGAGTTGAATTAAGAATATGTAAAGTGTTACTGTGTTTTAGAACAGGCAGTATTTGTTGCAGCTGGGCCTGGAGTTTACTGACAGCAAGAAATAAAGGTAAGGAAAGCATTTAGGACTAACTTGTGAAGAACTGTTACTGACATATGTTGTCTATTTTACTATAGTTCTTAAATGTTATGTGTAGGAAGGACATAAAGGATGATAATTAAAGATTATTCTATAAAATGTCATCCACAGCTCTGCCACAGTAGAAATCAAATTTATTATAGTTATTTCTTTCCCATTCTGAAGATGTCATAAACACCATTTTCTTCCAAACTCACAGAACTGATACATTCTTCTCCTGAATTGCTTGCTAGTTTGTCCTCTCCATTTTCAATACCCACATTCTATTTCGAGACTCTACCTTATTGTATTTGCTGTACCCTGCTGTTGGTGTGCATCTGTATATGTGTGTGTGAAGCATGTTCATTCACAACATGAAGGCTTTCCTTTCAAATTTGTCACAAAAGATATACATGCAATTAATTTGCATGAGTAGAATATTCATATCAAAATATATTTTGAATATCTCTATGAATATCTTAGTAATCCATAACTTCTTCAGCAAATGCAAGATATCATTAGTTAGTACCACTACATTATTTAAAATATTTAACACTGATGCCAATGGAAACACATACATTTAACATAGAGACAATTACCTATCAGGTTCAGGAGACAATAGGTGGAAAGATTTCGTTAGCCTAGTATATAGAAGGGAGACCCTATAGCACTCATGACAAAATCCCATTTAAGATAACAGCAATATGACACTATATAATCAAGTATTTCTTTTTGTTTTGCATAAACGAATAATGTACAAAAGTAAACCAGAAGAAACGGGTACATACTCTGCGGAAACCGTGGGGGGTTGTCGTTGACATCTGTCAGCGTGATGTTGACTGTTGTCGATCCTGAAAGCCCTCCGACTTGCCCAGCCATGTCTTTGGCCTGAATGACCACGGAGTAGTGTTCCCTGGCTTCTCTGTCCATATTATGTAAGGCAGTTCTAATAACTCCTGGAATATAAATCAAAAAACCATATGGATTGCACGTTAAATGAGAAACAACATAAAATTTCCTTTTTTTTTTTCTGTTTTAAGAAATGTATTTTTAAATGAAATACTTTAAATGAAAGGCTTCTGATGCAAATGTTACCTTAACAATGTTACTAAAACTGTCTCATTGAAATGTTTATTACAACCATGTGTCCCAAACTGTTCTGTTAGTGGCAGATTAAGATACCTATCTCCGCATTTCCTGGGGTGTGCAGCTCCAAGAGGACAGCCCCGTAGCCAGAGCTTGGTCCTTCTGCTGGTGGGTTCAACATTCTACAATATGTGCTCTTGGTCACTGTCAGCTGGGACGATTTGAGCAGAGGTTAATTTTCTTTTTTACAGAACAATTTACATAGTTGCTTGACAGCATCATCAAAATTTGATGATGGAAAACATTAGAGGAGTGTGAACCCTTGAAGAAATATTATAGGTGGGAAGCATTTTAACATTTATCAAGACTAAGAAACTCACTATTTTTGCCAGGAAATAAGTACTACGATAAGAAGTAGATCTGAATACATTAGCAAAATAAAGAAAGTGATGATATTGATTCCAAAAATCGCATGTAAAAGTCAAAGTCTTTATTTTACAGTGCCAAAGGAGACACTTAATTGGACTTTTTCATTAGTTAATACTTGGAATCAATAGAGATAAAAAATGTTATATATCCATAAGTAATTTCCTTTGTAGATACACACACACACACACACACTTATACATACACACATTTATACAAACACATTAGATGGTTTTGTTAATAGAGCCTTAAAATTTAAAATTGAAACATATTTTCCAGAGGGTTGAGTTTACCCAAGGATTATTAACTATGTCATGTAATTAAAAAAAACAAAAAACAAAAAACTTTCCTTATGTAGGTGAGCCACATTATAAGTATATAAATATATGTACTTTATATGAATGTAGACATTAATATATTTGCTACTCCAAACATCGGCCAACATTTAACAACCACCCTTTTACTTTTATTAAAAATATTTGGATTGTGCCACTTTTGAGAAAGACCAATGGTTTCAATCAAACACATACTTGCTTAGTTAGCAGTGCCATTATAGCATGATGCCAATTATTATAATTGCTAAATATGAGTTTAACAAACATATTTGCAGGCAATATCATGATATAATGAGAGAACATAGGGTTGTATATTAAAGTTAAAAAATAGTCTTTTAAAAGTAGAATGAAATAACAAATCAGTTATTTTAAATATAGAACAATGAACCACACTTTTTTTTTTTAAACTGAATTGATTGGATGTGTAATGACTTTGAGAGGAGAGCCTCAGGCACCAGGAAAAATGATCCCATAACTTTCAAAATTTGTGAATATATAATTGAGGAGTTCAGGAAAACTTTCCTGAAGCTAAATAAAAATTAAATTTATTCTTATCAAAAGAAATTATAATAATATGATAATAAATGATTCATCTAATTCATGCATATAAAAAAGCCCCAAGGATCCTTATTAAAAAGAACAATATTTTATCACATATGATAATTATATAAGAAGGGATTAAATTGATGCAGAAATGAACAAGCTAAGAATTTGTAAAAAAAATTTTGTGAAAGAAATATATATTTCCAAATATTTGAAGCAAAATAAAGATGTTATTCTAAAAAGAATGTATTATAAATGTAGCTTGGCTACAATGTGAAGAAGCATGAGATTATTGTACAGGATAATACTTTACAATGAAATCACTAAAATGATATTTCGAAGAATATAAATATATAAAAGTAAAATCAATCATTACAAAGTGAATGATAATCTCTTCTATACAATTTGAATATTATTCATTTAAGAAGAAAAAGTAAAATCAGCATAACTTCCTGTTTTATGTTCTATGATCTTCTTTTATTCCATTGCATTGCCATTATCTCTGTTTTTTTTATAATACAGCTGCTTCTGACACAAAATGAGAAGAAACAAGTTAGCCAAATTTGCAAAAGGAAAGAAAAGAGCAAATCCAGAAGTGACATTTACTTCTCAGAAATGATTGTCTAAGGATCCATTCAAACTCACAATTCTTTTGAGAATAGCCCAGTGGCTTGTACCTAGCTATGATTTCCCCTGTGAGCACATAGGTAACTCTGAGTGTTACAGTCAAATTGCCATAGCAACGTGATGTCTGTATACAAGAGTCCTCTTCTAACATGTAGCCCAGAGGCATGTAAGCAGAGTGGCCTAGAATATAATTGATGCACATTAATTTTTTTATTATTATTTTAAATAGACAATATTTTAGAGCAGTTTTAGGTCCACAGCAAAACTGGGAAGAAAGTAGGAATTACTGGATATCCCTTCCTCCCTACACACATACAACCTCCAACCATCAACAACCTGTACCAGAATAGTTTATTTGTTACAATGGACGGACCTACGCGGACATATCTTTTTCAACCAAAGTTTATATTTTACATTAGAATTCACTCTTGGTGTTGTACATTCTATGGGTTTGAACAGATGTATAATAACATGCATCCATTATAGTATCACACAGAATAGTTTAACCGCCCTAAAAATTCACTCTGCTCCACCTGTTCATCCCTCCCTCCCCTCAACCCATGGCAACTACTGATCTTTTTACTATCTCCATAGTTTTACCTTTTCCAAAATGTCAGATAATTGAAATTGTACAGTGTGTAGCCTTTTCAGATTGGCTTCTTCACTTAGTAATAGGCATTTAAGTATCCTCAATGTTTTTTCATGGCTTGATAATTCATTTCTTTTTAGTGCTGAATAATATTCATAGTCTGAATTTAATACGGTTTCTTCATATATTCACCTACTGAAGGACATTCTGATTGCTTCTAAGTTTTGGTGATTATGAATAAAATTGATGTAAACATCTGTGTCCAGTTTTTTGTGTGGACATCAGTTTTAGACTCCTTTGAGTAAATATCAGAGTATGATTGCTGGATCTTATGGTAAGAGGCAGTTAAGTTTTGTAAAAAGAATTAACTATCTTCCAAAATGGTTGTACCATTTTGTATGCCCACCTGCAATAAATAAGAGATCCTGACGTTCCACATCTTCACTAACATTTGGGTTGTTAGTGTTCCAGATTCTGGCCATTATGTTAGGTGTGTAGTGGTATCTCATTGTTGTTTTAATTTGCATTTCCCTAATGGAATATAATGTTGAACATCTTTTCATATGCTTATTTGCCATCTGTATGTCTTCTTTGGTGAGGTGTCTATTCAAACTTTTCTCCATTTTTTAATTGGGTTATCTGTTTTCTTATTACTGAATGCTAAGAGTTCATGGTATATTTTAGATAAGTCTCTTATCAGATATGCTTTTTCCAAATATATTTCAAGGCTATGACTTGTCTTACTCTCTTCAAAGTGTCTATGACAGTGAAGAACTGTTTAAGTGTTTTGAAGTCTGGCTTATTAATTATTTCATTCATGGATCATGATTCTTGTGTTGTATCTAAAAAGTCATTGCAATATTCAATGTCATCTAGATTTTTTCCTATATTATCTTTTTAGGAATTTTGTATCTTTTTACTTTATAGTTAGATCTGTAATCTATTTTGAGTTACTTTTATTAAGGTTGTAATGTCTATGTAACTGTTTTGCAAGTAGATGTCCATTTGTTGCAACACCATTTGTTGAAAATACTATCTTTTCTCCATTGCATTTTGTTTGCTCTTTTGTTGAAGGTCAGTTGAAAATATGTACAAAGTCTATTTCTAGGCTCTCTATTCTGTTCTATTAACATATTTATCTATCATCTCATCAATATCACACTGTTTTGATTAGCATAGCCTTATAGTAAGTCTAGATGTTGAATAGCATCTGTTTTCCATATTATGCTGGTTATTCTGTGTCTTTTGCCTCTATATATAAACTTTAGAATCAATTTGTCGATATCCATAGAATAACTTTCTGGGGTTTTGACTGGTATTCTATTGACTCTATAGATAAAGTTGAAAAGAACCGACATATTGAAAATGGGCATAAGGTATATTCCAAGGACAGGGGTGGGGTGAGAGATTTATTGCTCAGCTCCAGCACAAGGGTCAACGTGTATTCATGAGCTCTCCATGACTTCCCTGTAAATTTATAACTACCATAGGTGATTACAGTGCCGGAGGGTCAAGACCATATTTTGAAAAGCTATGATTAGAAAGACAAAGTTTTATCAGTATGTATTTATATCTTTTTTTCACTTTTTACCTCCATCTTATCATGCCAACGAATGCATACATGTATGGAAATACACACAGATAACAAAAAAAATGCAATGTCACTATATATTTTTCAAAACTGTGAAGCCTAAACTCATGTACTAGGCTAAACTATATTTATACAGTCCGAGTAAGAAATGTTTTGTTTGTTTGCTTGTTTGTTTGGGTTTTTCTGCCATGTGTACACATACAAAGTATTGTAATATATCTTACTTTTGTTTTTCAAATAAACTTATGGGCTTTTCATTAAGTAAATTTGTAAAAAAAAAATACAGAGCAATAAATTAATTACCATAAATTATTACATTTTCATTGGTTTGAAAATAAAGAAAACTCTTATATTTACAATATATGTTAGATAACTGGTAATGACATATTCTGAATGTTTGTAGGATATGCTTCACTAGCAATGTTTACTTCAAAACTTTTAACAGAATTGTTGCCTTTTAGTCACCAGGGACGCTGGGTTGAATCAACAGGATGTGATTACCTTTGTATTATTTTGCTTTGTTTCTTATTACAGTCCTAGTAAACAATTGCAGGTGCCGCACTGCCTGCAAATTGCCTTTTGACTACTGCTTCCCAATCACCTTGATATGTAGAGGCTTGTTACTGGGAATTACTCTCTGCTGAATACAAGTTTATAACATTGAAAACTCATCCGTGGTGATAAACGTTGCTTGTTGAATCCTACTCAATGGCCTACTATATGTTTATTTTCCCTGAATGATAAGATTTAATACAGCAA